AGCTGCCCATCTTCCGCAATCAGACATTGTCTACCGCTTAAAAATATAATGTGAAATGGTTCCATCTATTGAGTGGGTCTTTTTACGACAAATCACGTCTTCAGGCGTAATCAATGCAAAACAAGAAGCGTATGGCAAGGAAATGAGAAGTATACTCTGTGATCAGTTTTAACATGTTGAAATTAATTTCTGTCAATAAAGTAAAGAGGAAAATAGACCAAATGCATACCAAATAGTTGACGTTCGCAACAAGACCTTCATTGCCCGGTGTGATACTGGAAGCTGCAGGAAAGCTGCCCATCGATGTCGAAGTAATTTGGGAGACCAGCTCAGGCGGGAATTTCGCAACGATGGTTTGCGCATGCTCACGCAATATGTTTTCGTTACGCAAAAGCGTCAAAACACTTCGTGCTTCTCTGGAAAAAAGATCAAAGTATAGGAGGCTTCACTCAAATACTTCAAAATTAATTAATATTGCTTTTGTTGGACTATCACGAGCAGCACAAAATCCTAAATAAAGAACGTTTCCGACGGTAAATTAGCACTGGCATGTGCCAGGAGTTGAATCCGCCATCAGTTTGCTTCTAATGAACGCTCAAAAGAGGGAGGCATCAACAACTCTGCGCAGCGAGTAACTGAAAGTGACATTCCCAACCACTCGAGCTAGCTCCCCAGTGTCCGCCGCACACAAAGAACGAATGTCGAGCGGGTTTTGACTTTGAAAAATGGCTTTAAAAATGGGCACTTACCTGTACACCTCTCGAAGTGTATCCTCTGCATCGTTTTTATCGGCCGATAATTTATCGATGTCGAAATAGGTCTTGCTGAGTCGATAGCCTGCAGTGAATAAAAAGTGATCAGTGTAGAGTGAGCTACTGAAAGCTTTTCCAACGACTGCTCCAATTCAAACTGGGTCAAGGGGTAACTAGCTTGCTAATGAACCAGACATTCTTTCCTCTGTTTTCTTCGTTCCTGCTAAATTTACCACATCCCTCCGAAGCTCCTGCAGCACATGAGCTTATTTGTTAAGTTCCGTGCTTCCCATCCGTACGAAAAAGTGTATCAAAAATTAATCAAGTAAAAGTTTTTTACTAACGAATGCACAAATATCCCGAGCGAAGTGGAGAACAACTACTATTACTTATTTTCCACAACACTCTGTTCACTAATAATATACATTACGTAATTAATTTAACCCTGACTTTCAATAACTACAATTACCAAAATCGCCGTACTGACGAGGTCCAGTTGTAGTAATGGTAAGAAATGTGTGCGACTTAATAAACTGAAATACTTCCTACCATTATAATAATCTCATAAATTTCCGAATTTTCATTACTCATCTCCCTTTTCCTCTTTTTTTCCATTCTTTCCTATTATAACTTTCTGTTACTACGACTACAACGCACTAAGAGCAAATAACTGCAGCTGCTGTAACAGTGTGAAGATATGAGGGGATGGAAGCCGCGTGGAAAATACAACTGCCACGGCCGTTAGAGAAAAGTCAATGTGGATACCTCGGCTCCCCATCTGCCATAACTGTCTTGGTACTTCTATTAAGCCATAGCCAAGAAGAATAACAAGCATAAATAAGCCCCAAGTATTCGATGCGGATATAAGAATCACTTTGAGATGTTCCCTGCAATAAGATTACTCCTCCCAAAAAGCTTCGATATTTTTAAACTTTAAGAAGTATGATAAATCAGTGGGGTCTACTGCGCCATATGTTCAAAAATCTGACCAAACAAAGTAAAGTGACAAAAATTAGTAAAATGTGCAAAAAAAAAAAACGCGCAGACACTGCAAAATCCACAAACAGTTTTAGATCTAACATTTGTAAAACATCCAAACTGTATATTACTGAATTTCTAGAGATGTAGAGTTTCTAGAGATTCAGGAAGTACCTACCTATTCCTGCACACACAGTGATTGAATAATTGGCCAATGCACGGGCTGCCCGTGCGAAGATGCGTTTTTTGCAGAGTTCCCCGCAATTTTTGT